AAGTCAGACTGCCTGAGGACACATACTTACTCTGCCACCAACTAGTTGCTTGGTCACAGATACATTGCTCAACTGCTGTGCCTCTATTTCTTCATCTATGAAATGGATTAATGATAGTAGTTAGCTCAAATGGGATTAATGAAAAATAAATGAGTTGATAAATATAAATTATTAGAAATATCTAGAGCATAATAAGTTCTCAGTAAATTTTGAGCATTCTATAATTATTATAGGAACTTACCAAATTCTTGGATTGGATTATACTGCAGTGACAATCAACCTGCAAATCTCAGTAGCTCAATTAAAAAAAAAAGAAATTGTTCATTCACTCTACAAGCCCAAATGGAATTCCAGGGAAGCTGTGTTCAGTGAAGTCACTCACAAAGTGATGGAGAGACTCCATCAATGCCTGTTTTCTTCATTATTTTTTTAAGATTTATTTATTTATTTGAAAGTCAGAGTTACACAGAGAGAGAAAGAGAGGTATGGGGGGCCTTCCATCCACTGGTTCACTCCCCAATTGGCTGCAATGGCCAGAGCTACAACTATCCGAAGCCAAAAGCCAGGAGCATCTTCTGGGTCTCCCATGCAGGTGCAGGGGCCCAAGGACTTGGGCCATCTTCTACTGCTTTCCTAGGAAATAGTAGATAGCTGGATTGGAAATGGAGCAGCCGGGTGTCTCAAACCGGTACCCATATGGGATACCTGTACTGCAGGCATGGCTTTACCCACTATGCCACAGTGCCAGCCTCCTGTTTTCTTCATTCCTACAGTGGAAGGAAGGGAACATGGCAGATTGTATACTAACTGTTAGGACTTTTATCTGGAAGTCTGTCACTTCTGCTCACATTTTATTGGCTGAAAGAAATCACTTCAGCATGCCTGATTTCAGAGGTTGAAGTTCAGTTCTACAATGTGTCCAGAAGGAGGAGATAGCAACTTTTAACTGTCAGTCTGCACATCAGAATGTGTGTTTTTGTTTGATCCTGGTGGAATTAGAATTCATGTGCAGGGGCCGGCGCTGTGGCACAGCAGATTAAAGCCCTGGCCTGAAGCACCAGCATCCCATATGGGTGCTGGTTCTAGTCCTGACTGCTCCTCTTCCAATCAAGCTCTCTGCTATGGCCTGGGAAAGCGGTAGAGGATGGCCCAAGTGCTTGGGCCCCTGCAGACCCAGAAGAAGCCCCTGGCTCCTGGCTTCAGATCAGCACAGCTCGGGCTGTTGCAGCCATCTGGGGAATGAACCAGCTGATGGAAGACCTGTCTGTCTGTACCTCTCTCTGTAACTCTTTCAAATAAATAAAATAAATCTTAAAAAAAGAAAAGAAAATGCAATAATAACTCTTTTAAAAAAAAGAATTCATGTGCAAAAGTCCTTACCTCAATGATTACCACTAACTACCACTAATTCATTAGCATCTGATGAGGGCCTTAATGCTGCATCATCCCATGGCAGAATACACAAGGACATGAGAGAGAGAAAGCAAGAAGGGCACATTCATCCTTTTATCATGAACCTTCTCCCATGATAACTGACCTCCTTCTGTGATAATTGTATTACTCTCTTCTTAATTAATTACTTTTTAAAGATTCTGTCAGTGCCATTGTGATTTTTTTTTTAAGATTTTATTTATTTTGGGGCCAACGCCACGGCTCACTTGGTTAATGTTCTGCCTGCGGCGCCAGCATTCCATATGGGCGCCGGATTCTGTCCCGGTTGCTCCTTTTCCAGTCCAGCTCTCTGCTGTGGCCCGGGAAGGCAGTGGAGGATGGCCCAAGTGCTTGGGCCTTGCACCTGCATGGGAGACCAGGAGGAAGCACCTGGCTCCTGGCTTCGGATCAGGGCAGCTCCAGCTGTAATGGCCATTTGTGGGGTGAACCAACGGAAGGAGGACCTTGCTCTCTGTCTCTCCCTCTCACTGTCTATAACTTTATCTCTCAAATAAATAATTTTTTTTATTTGACAGACAGTGAGAGAGAGAGACAGAGAGCAAGGTCTTCCTTCCGTTGGTTCACTCCCCACATGGCCGCAAGGCCAGAGTTATGCCTATCTGAAGCCAGGAGCCGGAGCCAGGTGCTTCTTCCCATTCTCCCACGTGGGTGCAGGGGCCCAAGCACTTGGGCCATCTTCTACTGCTTTCCCAGGCCATAGCAGAGAGCTAGATTGGAAGAGGAGCAGCCGGGACTCGAACCGGCGCCCACATGGTGCCCCTGTTCCTCATGCCTGGCGCTGCAGGCAGAGGATTAACCTATTGTGCCACTGCGCCGACCCCCTGTTGTGATCTTTTTACATTCTGTTTGAGATCTTACATATTCTGGCTGTGTCAAGTACTTTTAGATTGAACCTAGAAATTTTCTTGTTATGCTCTGAGATAATGTTATCTCATGCAAATTTTCTGTTTAATTGACCTTCCCTGACATTGCTCCACTGCCTCATTATTGCCAGGTGGAACTAGACATCTGGGTTCCTCACTTGGCTTTCATTTAAACCCACAGTGTGGTGGAGATTCCTCCATAGTGCTTGGTGGAGATGAAAGATCCAGCTCCCTGTGTGTTGTCCACTGGTAGGGTTGGCCTCATTACTGGCAGTCGGTGGTTACAGTTCTGAATCTCCCCTACACTTCTTCCAACATAACCCTAGTGGAGAAGGGAAGGGCTCCCTCATTACTTCCAGCAGGGGCTGCTCTCCAGGCTGTCTACATGGTCCCCACTGATTGTTTGGGGGAGGACACCTTGTTACGAGCCAGTGGAGATGGAAGTCCTGACTCCCTATTTGACCTTCCCTTATAACACCGCAGTGAAGGTGAGGTGGTACCTCATTACACTGCCATGAGGGTACACATCTGGCCTCCCCACTTATCCTTTGCTGGTGTGGATGGGATAGGGTCACAGATTTTCTGTGAGATTTGGCTGGAATACAGTAGTTGTCTAAAAGTTTTCTGTGTTATTATGCAGTTCAGTTTTGTGTGTGTTGGCTAGAGAGAACAGGTTTGTGTCTGGGCCTATTTTTGTTTGCGTCTTTGGGCTCCTGGCCTCTTTGTCGCCATTGTTCCTTGAGTCCTGAGACCACTAGCCAGTCTGCCCTCTCTTCACCATTCAAAGTCCACTTATGTTTGTTTTATGTAAGATGTCCAGAATTGCTCAGTTACACTTAACAGGAAGAAAGGGGAAAGTAGGTATTTTATGCTAAAAATGCTGAGATCCCTTTAGATCTCTGATCTCTCCTGATATAAGTGATCCCTCCTCATTTACTTAATTTTAATTAAGGAAAATTATTACAGCAAGAGTATAGCATAGTCTTTCTTAAACCCCTGAGGTTAGTGTATATTTGTAAGGAGAAAAGTCATCCTATTTTAAATTAGTAACAGTGATACATTGTTTATTATAATTGCTAGGTAATTATTATTTTAACATAAAAATTAAGTTATTATAATTTTGATATACATAAAAAAGTATGCTCAAATGCTTTTAATTTTAATGCTTTTTAGATATCTGATTTTTGTGTTGTTATAATTAAATTATGGGTAACAAAATTATATAGCCATAAAATCTAAAATGTTTTTCAAAATTAAATCATTTTTCTCAATGACTATAAATGTCTGGAGATTTTTTGAAGTTAAAAAGTGTTTTAATTACCTCATTGAATATTTACTTAAAATATATTGTATGCCAGCTCTCTGCTGTGGCCAGGGAGTGCAGTGGAGGATGGCCCAAGTGCTTGGGCCCTGCACCCCATGGGAGACCAGGATAAGCACCTGGCTCCTGCCATCAGATCAGCGCGGTGCGCCGGCCACAGCGCGCCAGCCGCGGCGGCCGTTGGAGAGTGAACCAAGGGCAAAGGAAGACCTTTCTCTCTGTCTCTCTCTCTCACTGTCCACTCTGCCTGTCAAAAAAAATATATATAAATATTCTATGCCAGACGTTGTGTTAGAGATGCTATGATAAACAAAACATATACATAAAACTTTATTTATCATAAAACTTTATTTATCATAAAACTTTCTTCTACAATAAGATACCAAGTTAAAAAATGAAATAAAGTTTTATGTGAGCACGTGTTGTGTGTTTTTATGAATAATACTGCTAAGAAAAATTAGAATATTCTGTTTAGTATATTACTCCAAATATTATATGCTGGAATGCCAACTTCTCAGACAATGGTATTTATCAGTAAATTATATTGAGGTAAATTGAAAACAAAGATTATATCATGAAATGTTCCACTGATATACAATGAACATGTTTTAGTTTCTGAAATATCTTGTGGATTTTTAATATTAGTGTAGCGTATAAAAGACAGTGTTACCCAATGATGGCCATGATTGTTAATGGTTTATATTAGCTAAAAGCTGTAAAATCATCCAAAGACTCTGTTACTGTTAGAATAATAATTTACCAAGACAATTACCACATACTGGAATATTTTGCAGCTCTAATTCAGTATTATTAATAATGGATAAAATTGCACTTTTCTCAGGTTGCTGTGGGCCGCAGGGAATTATTTCAATGAATATTTCAGCACATTATTTTAATCATTACTCCACCAAATCCAAATGGGCAATATTTTATACTTCTTAATTCAGTCTACTAAGAAACCATAGTCATTAAATTGCAAACTATTTGTAGTAAGGTCTGTCCTGTGATTTACAAGCCTTGTTAAAAACAGTGTAAAAGAAAGAAAACTGTGCCATTAATACTTGTAATTTGATGTTGCATTTGTACTAAACTCCCTGTGATTAATGTTTTAGTAGAAGAAAGAAAAAATTTTGAAGTATCACTTGAGTGTTACAATGCTTAAAATATGAGATGTTACTATTTTTAGATTTGTTCATTTGTAGAAGAAATATATACGTATGGGCCTATGTGTAAAATATAAATATCAAAAATCATCCTAATTTTCCAATACGACTAGAAATAAGCTTTAATTTAATGAGAAAAATATATTTCCCATATGCATTATTATTAATAAGATTATTGTTGTCTTATTTTCACATTCATAGCCAATTGCATGATTTCTGGCGTTTGGATTACTGGGAAGATGATCTTCGTCGAAGGAGACGATTTGTTCGTAATGCATTTGGCTCCACTCACGCTGAAGCATTGCTCAAAGCTGCAATAGAATATGGTTAGTACTGATGTCTCTTAAACAAAAATTTTTCTGGATATGAGTGACTCATTGTGGTTAATAATTTATTTTTATCACTGGTATTTAATGTTCTCCATGTCATAAGTCAAAAGCATTTTGTTCTGCCTTATCCTTCAGTATTGTCAGGTTATACTTAATCACCCCAGTATTTTTCTCACTAGATATACTTAAGACCCTTTAACAGCTTTCTAATCTAAGAGATTAAAGGCTCCACATAGTTGACTACTACCCACCATCCCTTTCAGCCTCAAATGAGAATAAAGTCAATTTCTTTTTCAGTGTGTTCAAACTTTGCTGACAAAGAACTGTGGTGAATAAAATAATATGCCAAATTGTAGTCTTCTAATCAGACATATTTATATTGTGTATAACATTGTGTGTTATACATATTATGTACACGCATATATATGCTGTGTCCATATACATAAATACATGTGATATATTTTTATAAATACACATTCACATACATACTTGAAATAAATAACTGCAACAGATGTTTTACTAGTACTCTCTTTATTTGGCACTTTGTGTGTTATTCCTACTCTATTCTTTCCAGTTAATAAATAAAAAATAAAATACTATTATAGTCTGCCGATTTAAATTCCCAATCTTCCAATGGGTTGCAGATGAAGTTTGAAAAAAGATGGTCCCCTATTTACAACTATCACACTACAATTAAGCTATTCTCTAACACTGGTAGTGTGCATGATAGTCCACTAAGAAGTGTACTTAGGGACATTTTTCCTATTACCTGTTTTTAAGAAATTCAATTTGATGTATCATGTCAGAATTTTATAATTCACATACACTGATGAAATACCAGTAATGAACATTGTCCATATATTTTAGTATATGTTCTGCCGAAGCGAGCACATCGTCCATATATTTTTATTATTACCTTTATTCTTATAACTACTTGTATTTTATTATATTAATATTTATTTACCTGACAATAGTAAGTGATCCATCTGTTTTAAAATTTACCATACTTGGTAAATAGTTTTGTATCATACCACAGTTCATATCTTGTAATGGCATTCATATTCTTGATGGATCAAACATGAAAAATGTTTAATTCTGAAAAAAGACAAAATGTGCACGTTTGAAACATGTCATTCCACTAAGCAATTCATTGATGTACATTAGTAAGGCTCAAACATGATCACATTAATATGGTACATTTTAATATGAAACCATTATACCTAAGATAAAAATTACAAGATAACTTTATACAGTGAAATAATCTATGGAAAAAAAGATAAAAGTTACAAAGAAACTTAATATAGTAAGAGTAATTATGGAAAAATACTGGAAAAATTGTATTTGAGCTTACCATAGATAATTTCTTTAAAAAAAAATCAGTTATTTATTTATTTAAGAGGCAGAGTTACAGACAGACAGACAGAAAGAAAGATCTTTCCTCTGTTGGTTCACTCCCCAAATAGCCACAATGGCCAGAGCTGAGCTGAGCCGATCCAAAACTGAGAGCCAGGATCTTTCTGGTTCTCCACGTAGTTGCAGGGGCCAAAGCACTCGGGCCATGTTGTTCTGTTTTCCCAGGCCATTAGCTGGGACCTGGATTGGAAGAGCTGGGACATGAACCGGTACCCATCTGGGATGCTTGTACCACTGGCAGAGGTTTAGCCTACTATGCCACAGTACCAGCTCCAATAATTTCTTTACTCAACTCTAAAGATCAAGAAAGGATTTCAGTAGCCTAAGGATTTGATACTAACTTAAAATTAAGTTGATGATCCTAAAGAAGAGATTCTTAGAAATATTGCCTATTTAGCAGTGGTGTGCTTTAAAATATTAAAGTTATTAAAATTTATTTTATTTATCCAATGGTGTAGAATTTTTTACCAATTCATCATGAACTTACCTCATTTGTAATTAGAAATATCTAGAGACAATTTGTAACAGAGGTTGGGCTATAGTATATTATTGATATTGAGTTACCAAAGATTTAATTATATAGGATTTACCTTATACTGCATTCCACATTTTATAGCTTACTTTTTAAAAAATTATAATATCTGTTTTTGTTTCTCCTTAAAAATGGATCCTTTTATTTGAATTATTGATTTGTAAAATATTTCTGTTAGTGAGCCAGTGTCAGAGACATCCAGAAAAAAAAAAATTTAATCTTTGCCTTTAAAATCTTTCTGAGACTAATAATAATAGTTTACAAATCTAGTAATTATTGTCAATGAACTTAAACTAAAAAGTAATGCTCCAATTTTGAGGCAGATAAGAGGATCAGGTGATACAAAATATTCTCCTGTTTGCCATGAATATATTTTAAAATATGTAGTACTTACAAATTTTAAATTCTAGATCACTATCAGCATTCAGAACCTATTGTTCTTTTTTTAAATTTTTTTATTTTTTATTTTATTTATTTTTTTGACAGGCAGAGTGGACAGTGAGAGAGAGAGACAGAGAGAAAGGTCTTCCTTTTGCCGTTGGTTCACCCTCCAATGGCTGCCACACCGCGCTGATCCAAAGCCAGGAGCCAGGTACTTATCCTGGTCTCCCATGGGGTGCAGGGCCCAAGCACTTGGGCCATCCTCCACTGCATTCCCTGGCCACAGCAGAGAGCTGGCCTGGAAGAGGGGCAACCGGGACAGAATCCAGTGCCCCGACCGGGACTGGAACCCGATGTGCCGGCGCCGCAAGGCAGAGGATTAGCTATTGTTCTTATTGAGTTGGATTCTTTGATAAAAGAAAAAGAAGTATGCTTTTATTTTATACATGTTAAGAACAAAATATTCAAAAATCTACATGATACCTGTGCTAGAGTTCTTTGATGGTCATTGTTAGGTTAAGGTTGTAGAGTGGAATACAAAGGAGAACTGAACAGTTCTGCCTCCAGACAGAGTTCTGCAACATACCTGTTTTCACCGTCATCACTGTCCACATCCACACACTCTGGAAACTGAATAGAGTTGGAACTAAAATATGGAGAACACAGAGAGAGCGAGAGGGAAGCACTCCCTGGAGTAAGAGTGACCCTCAATGTGGCAGTCAACAGTAAAGCTTAAACTGCCAAGAGAAAATCTACTGTAGGGTACCTTCTCCCAACCTTGTAGTATGCCCTCTAACCTACATATAAAGTGTTTCTTCAGAAGAAACAGGAAGTAAATGTCAGTAATTATTACCAAGCATTTCACCCAGTGAAAATACATGTTGAAAAAATTAATTGAAAACAGGTTTTGCATAAAGACAGGTTTCATATTCACGTATTCTCAGAACATCGATATAAAACTTAAAAAAAAAAAGCTCAGTCTGTCATCTGAGCACTCTCTCTGCTATTAAACATTTAAGCATCTGAAAGTCTGGCAGTGTATAGACTAACATCCAAATGGCTGAATGTTTTGTATCCTTATATTAAGGATATATTTATAGTAAAAACCCAAAAATTCTTAGCAAGCTTCTAAGCCAAACTGAATTTCAGTATACTCCTCCTATAGTTCAATAATTATAGCATTCTAATTTCCCTATTGTTAAATTCTGTCTTGAAAGTTAAACATTAAATGTACAGAATTCTCCCATTAACTTTGGACAGAAGTTTCTTATTACATTCTTTTGAATGGTTAGAAACACAGATATGTTATGAATAAAAGAATGTTGTATGTTTGGAACTTTCAGTATGGCTAAAAGTATTTGATTCAGTGATCAAAGTTTTCAGATTTTTAAACATGTTATATATGAAATTGCTTAAATAAGGAATATTGATATAGTCATTAAAATAATCCCTAGGATTTAAACTACTGGCTGAGTTTAGCTGTATTGGTGAAATAAAAGTGAAGTTGATTTAGCAGCCTTCATGTTTTAATAAAGATAATTTGTGGCACTTGATTTTTCCTGATATCCTAAATTCAGCCAAACATTTTAGATTAACTCATAGTTAAACTTTATATGATGGGAAGGAATATTTAGCCATAATTTGAACTCTTGGCATAATGTTCAGACAATGTTTTGCAATCTCATAGAAAATATGTTGATAATGATATCTTTAATGAGCAAATGATCAGAATTGGATATAATTTCAATAAAATAGAGGACAATAATTTTATTTCCATATTTACTTTGAAAAGCTTTCCCTTTGACTTCATTATTAAAACTTTTGGTTGACCTTTTTCAGTTGGAAAATAACCCGTATATTGATGGAGTTTTTCATGCTTTTTAGTAATACTAATGAGTTGAATAATTTATGAGGTTGTCATGTGCAAAAGATTTGGTGTGATTTGATATACTTTCAGCCTCTGGTGTTGGAATGTGATTAATAAAAACCCAGAGGCATGTAATTTTTTCCTTGATGTTTAATGTTCTAATTTTGCATGTATTAAATGTGTTACTTAGGTGTTTTCTCATCACAAAATCTCATACAAGTGCAAATTTAATTGACTACCAGGAATTTCACAGACCATAGCAATGGAAGAATATAAGGAAATATTTTAAAACTCATAAACTCTACTTCTGACCTGCAGGGTTTTCTTCATCAGGACACATTAGCTAATGGGGAAATGATTGGAAAAGGAGAAATTTTATGTTGTCTATATATTAAAATAAAACCTGGACTAGTCAACTTCTGGTACATTTCTAGTGTTTAAACATTATGGCTGTCAAAGAATAGTAAAAAAAAATCTTAATAAGCTTGGTTTCTTTGTTGACTGTCAGTTGTCATTTAGGCCTCTGTTCCCCTTCCATAAGATTACTGTGGAACAATGTTTCATCAAAGCCTCAAATCACCAGCGCCTCCGTGTCCGTGATCAAAGACATCATCTTAAATAGGGCTGATCGGGCGTCGCAGAAGAGGGCAGGCTGCTCAGCCTGAGGAAAAAAAAACATGGAGCAAAGATGACAAAGTTAATCAGTCATTGCTTTGGCAATAAATAATAAGATATGCTGAGAACTGCAAATGAGAACATTCTTAGGTTCCTCAGAGATGTGTCTGCTTAACACCTGATTTATCT